ATTTATTTATTTTAAAAAGGTTTTGTTTTAATTTTATTTGTTTTTGAGAGAGAGAGGAGGGGGCAGAGAGAGAGAGGGAGACACAGAATCTGAAGCAGACTCTAGGCTCTGAGCTGTCAGCACAGAGCCACACATGGGGCTCAAACCCACGAGCTGAGCGTGACATTATGACCTGAGCCGAAGTCAGACTCTGAACCGACTCGAGTCACCCAGGTGTCCCTCAAAAGGGTATTTAAAAGGGAAGATTTTTGTGTGTGTGTGTGTGTGTGTGTGTGTGTGTGTGTGTGTATTTGGTCTTTTTTTGTTATTGGGAATAGAAGTAAATGTTTTAGTTTTGAGCTAGTTTTAACTGAGTCATAAGTTCTGAGAAGGAAGCATTAAAGGAAATGAATTCTAAAAGACACTGATAGAGATTTGAAACTGTATTGACATTAAGGCCATCTTTTTTATAGAGCCGGCTTTGGCTAATCAGCTGTGCAAAAGGACATTCAAGGAGAAAAACACTGGCTCTGAGCCAAAAGGATAGGTATGCAAATGAAGTTCTGAGAAAAATACCAGAATTTTCTTAAGGAAAAAAAAAATCACCCATAACTCTGAGATGTGGTCCATCTTGAAGATCTGCTGCTCCAAACATCACTAAAAGCATCATGCTGGCATTAATGACTGAGGGAAGGTAAATGTCAGATTGTAGGGTAGCTGATGAGTGGAGAAAATCATCTTTCAAATGACAGATTTATAGCTCAGGGAGGTTAGATGGTTGGCAGATAGTCATGAGGATTGTGGTGCTATCTTGTGGCTGCTTTGCTATAACAAGCAAACCTAGGAATGAAACAGGTTTGAATCAAACCAGATTTCTTTTTTTCATTTTTTTAGAAAGAAAATATGCACAATGGATTTCCAATATAAATTGACAACATGAAAGTTTTAGTAAAAATCGAGGGCATACAGATCATGCATAGTGTTTGGAGTAGAGCCGCTAACACGTATAAAACAATGAGAACTTTATTTTGTATGTACTGTACTGATTTGTGGTATCTCTAAACATAGTTATGGCAGCAGTTGGACAGAGTTTACTTCAAGAGATTTTTTTTATTAAAAAAATTTTTTTTCAACGTTTATTTATTTTTGGGACAGAGAGAGACAGAGCATGAACAGGGGAGGGGCAGAGAGAGAGGGAAACACAGAATCGGAAACAGGCTCCAGGCTCTGAACCATCAGCCCAGAGCCTGATGCGGGGCTCGAACTCACGGACCGCGAGATCGTGACCTGGCTGAAGCCGGATGCTTAACCGACTGCGCCACCCAGGCGCCCCTCAAGAGATTTACATTATGAGGACAACTAACAAATATTCTTTCAACTAGCAAATACTCTTACTCTCAGGATTCCATTCTGAGTGAACTCTGGGTTGATGATGAGAACCAGCCTTGGTTGACTCTGCTCTTTTTTTTTTTTTTTTTTTTTTTTACTTTTTCCAATGCCATCTTGCTTCTCAGTCTTCCCATATGTCTCAGCAAGTGCTATAATAGGACTGATGGGTGATGTATGTGTGACATCTTGCCTAAAATTAAAGTCTAAAATATATTCTGAAAAAAGTAACAGTAACAACACTTTGGGCATATGCAAAGGTGACAGATGTTGTTAGGAGAAGGGCCATATTTTTCATGGATACGGAGCACCTTTCTCTGAGGCCAACATTATGTTCCTTCCCAACACCCATTTGTCAATGACTCCAAATGCTCCTTCTGTGACAGAGTAACAGAAGCACTGATCCTTGAGGCTGTAATCACTCTTGCTGTAATTGCTTTTGTTATGTACACTTAGTACCATCCACAGTGTTTTCCTTCCTGATGGGTAAGAACTTTCACAGCCATGTAGAGCTTCTGCTCTGTGCTGCTTCCAGAATCTTGTTTATATGTGCTGAGTCCCTAATCTCCCGCTCCAAAATCACTGGGCTGAACAAGGCAGGGACTGGGTGACATAGGTCTTGAGTTGGCCCTGACACAAAACATCTGAATTGGATTGAGTCCATTGTTGCAACCCTTCTCTAAGGATGAGAGGGCAGTTCTCATTAATTCTGAATCACTTCTTTAGTCTCACTGATTTCCTTGGAAGGATTTAAATTCCCTTATTTTTTCTACTCATTTCCCACATATTTTTAATTTTTTTTTTTTAAAGGAAAGCTGATCTATACTGTATTTCAGACTCCATCCATTTGGCCACACTCACCAGGTGTCCCTTTGTAATGCACCCTGGAGAGATGTACCTTGCAGGACAAGGCTTACTGCCCTCAAGATCTGCCCTCACCTTTCCTCCGGGCCACCAGACCAGTAGCTAAATCCACCAAGTAAAGTCCTCTGGGCCTTCCAAGAAACACAGTCTGTTAAAAGTGTGAGGGACTTACATAAAAATCCAGTCTAACAAGCCCACTCCCCTGAATCTTTGACCCCTTTCCATGCTCTGCCAAGGCAGTTCTGGTATTGCTATTCATTTTATGAGAGCCAACCTTTTCCAAGTGTCTAAGAACCTTACCAGCCATGCTTCAGGACTGGCACTCTTGCCTAGACACTAGATTTTGTCTCATAGGAAAGTGCCCCCATATTGATACATTTTGCTTAGTTCAGCTTTACATTTTGCCACTCTTGTTTGGTCCAGCAACACTATCACCCTTCCCAGGTATAGCTTCCTGGCTTTGGCTGGTCAAGTCAATGCCTTTTGTGCCTGAGTAAAATCTAAGTAAGAGAAATAGTATAGAGAAGAGAAAGGAGCCATGGAAGAATCCAATCTCTGGTAGTTGCAGGAAGAGTCTAGTGTCATCATGATACAATGGGGAATTCTCAAATGTAAATCCCATCACAAACACTGTCCCACCTTGAGACGAGGGAGTAGGGCTTTTGTATCATTATCCAATCAATAGTTGGTTATTGGCAATGGGATAAATGGCATGAAGTTAGTTTCAATCCCAGGTACTCTTCCAGAAAAGATTGGAGGTGTAAACCATTAGCTAAAGCACTCCACAGCAGCTAGGGTTTGGGTGCATCGACCAAAGTAGGAAAAGAGATTGCAGGGGATCAGAGCAGGCCACCAACACAGCATGTTGTACAATTTATCAAAATGTTTGTTATGTTAATGTTCAGCTGAAAGATAATTACCAAATTTTTACTAGTATTTCAACCAGAATGCATTATTCTCTTCTCTCCATGTTTATATGTTGCTTAACCCCTATTTGTAATTGCTTTAAAGTTTGAGAGATACAGTTAGTTGTTTATATAACTGTGTCCCAACTCAGTTGTAAATCTGGAGAAACAGTCAGTCATTCTAGACTTCACAGAGTGAACTTATACATTGTATCTAATACTTTTTAAAAAGATGTGTTTGGGGGCGCCTGGGTGGCTGTCGGTTAAGTGACTGACTTCAGCTCAGGTCATGATCTCACAATTCGTGGATTTCAGCCCCGCGTGGGGCTCTGTGCTGACAGCTCAGAGCCTGGAGCCAGCTTCGGATTCTGTCTCCCTCTCTCTCTGCCCCTCCCTTGCTCATGCTCTGTCTCTCTCTCTCTCCCAAAAATAAATAAATAAAATTTAAAAAAATAAAAAAAATAAAAAGATGTGTTTGATGATCTGCATCAGAGTTGGCAGGAGAAAACCTATAGAGATTCCTTTTGTAAAGAAAAAGTATTCTCAGTTTATCTTTTAAGTTAGTCTGCATCTTCACATGTTATATTTGCTTAATGGTTGTGTATGTCAGCAAAGATTTCAGAGATCCTTGGAATAAAATGGTTATATACGTGTACAACCTGAGCAAATTCAGCTTTGTAATTGACTGAGATAATGATGGTATCCTTCGGAAAGGTTGTGGTCATGGTCTCAGAAAAAATCCTTGAATAAAGATTATTAAAATAAATGTGGACTTAAGTAAACTTTAGAGACACCCAGAGAGAAAAACAAAATGTACCTAGTGAATTTTCTTCTCTAGTTGGCTCTAGTTGGGCAGAAAAAAAATACCTGCCACCCAAATATCATTAGACTAGAAAACAAACAGAAATAATGCTTTGGCAAGAAAACAAGCATGTTAAAGAGCTTTTCAAATTGTTAAAAGGTGGATGGGAAGAACATGAATTAAACCAGTTCTTTTCAAAATTTAAGTCTTTTTCAAGGCATGAGGTAAACACTTTCAATAGTTTGCTTTTTTTCATAGTTGTTTGCTTTTGCAACCTAATTAAAAATTATTCTTTGTACAAAGATTCTATCTCTGATGTTTAATCTACCCATTCAGACCAAGACACTGGGGTACAAATTTAGTGGGCAACTTACCAAAAACCTGAAAAGCAGAACTGTTATTAAGGGCAAGGCTCTAAAAGGAGAGTTCATTCTTTGTATGCTACAGCAGATTCTCTCCTTGGTGCAACTCTATAACGTGCTGCAGATCTCCAATATCTTTGAGTCTTTTTTTTTTTTTAATTTTTTTTTTTAACATTTATTTATTTTTGAGACAGAGAGAGAGAGAGAGCATGAACAGGGGAGGGTCAGGGAAAGAGGGAGACACAGAATCTGAAACAGGCTCCAGGCTCTGAGCTGTCAGCACAGAGCCCGACGCCGGGCTCGAACCCACAGACCGTGAGATCATGACCTGAGCCGAAGTTGGACACCCAACCGACTGAGCCACCCAGGCGCCCCTCTTTGAGTCTTTTTTTTTTTTAATTTTTAAAAATGTTTTACTCATTTTTGAGACAGAGAAAGACAGAACGTGAACAGGGGAGGGACAGAGAGAGATCGAGACACAGAATCCAAAGCAGGCTCCAGGCTCCGAGCAGTCAGCACAGAGCCCGACGCGGAGCTCGAACTCAAACGGCGAGATCATGACCTGAGCCGAAGTCGGACCCTCAGCGGACTGAGCCACCCAGGCGCCCCCGCCTTTCTTTCTTTCTTTCTTTTCTTTCCCTTTTCTTCCTTCCTTCCTTCCTTCCTTCCTTCCTTCCTTCCTTCCTTCCTTCCTTCCTTCCCTAAAGTCAAGGAAATTTATTTCCTGAGGTCATGACACAGGAAGTAGACTCAGCCACAGCTGTGGAGGTCTCCTAGCGGAGGCCAGAGCCTTACGGACATGCTGGACGAGCCAGGACGCTTACGGGGAAAGGTCCAGTTACGTCGGCTAGTGCTCAGGACAGGGGAGAGCTGTCCCAGAGCAAAGGTGTCAGGCAGGTGCCGGCGCGCCCGGCTTCACTGCGAGACCTCGCGGAGGGGGAAGCGTCAACAATTTACGGAGGCTCCAGCCACTGGGTCAGATTGAGACAAACCGTGCGTGGTGGGGTTTGCGTCAGCAGGCCGGAGACGTTTCTGCTTTTTGATCATTATCGCCTGGGGCCCCATCGGGGTCGTGGAGGGCTGAGCCCCAAAGCTGGGAAATTCTTCAGAGCTGCTCATATCAAGAGACTTCTCGCTGCTGCTGGCGGTCCAGGGAGCGTTCCGTACCGCAAAGCCCTTGGATGGCGCCTTCGACTCCTCGGGGGCCGGTGGCTTCACGTACACCTGCAATGGCTCGCTGTCGACTACGTCAGCCAGGTATTCCTCGTCTAGGTTGAGAATGTGGTGCATGGCCCCCTCCACGTTCTCCGGGAGCCCCGTCACCGTGACGCACTTGGGGTCTGGGGCGACCCGCTTCGCGGGAAGCGAAGGCCCACCGTGAATTCATCCGTTATTTTGAGGATGGCTTTTCCACGGGCACAGTGCCTTTGATTCTTGAACGGATTGGTTTGGAATAGGATCTACCCTCTAGAGTCAAGGAGAAACGAAAAGAAGGGCCTATGTGCTGTATCTCTTATACCAAGATCAGTGCATTTGTTTGGTACGCAGTCAATATTTATTGCATAAGTAAATATTCTTGTTTTTATGACAACATCCATTTTATACATGGTTACCATATTGCTTAACGTTTTATCTCAGTATGTTATTGAAGTTTCTAATTTAAATTATTTAAAATAGATATTAAGACATGGGGATTATCGACGATGGGAATAGTTTAGATTAAACATGCTTGGATTTAGCGGAGTGCATTAGAACAGATCTTTACAGGCGCATGAGTATTTTTCAGTGAAGACTAACTTAGGGATATCTGTTAATAATGATTCAGAAAATTAAAATGAAGTGTTTAGAGTCCGCATTTTGTCATATTTGGACTTTAATGCTCCGCATATTCTCAGATCTGCTGTAACCTGAGGATCTCAGGTTAACTCCTTGATGCTTATCCATGGAGATCCGAAACACCAGCTTCCTCTTCTTTCGGGAGGCCCAGATTTCCCCGCGTTGTCCATGGGAGGCTGGCATGTGTCTCTAGGACTGAACTAAACTTCCCTATGTTGTGAATAATTGGAGGAAGCAAATTATACACAACTGAAGCAAGTTTCTGTATTTCTCTTTTCTTGGCATAGATTTAAATCATGATGTGATCATTTTCAATCCCTCCCTATCACTTTTCCCACTTTCTAAGCAGACGTCTTCTTCCAGCCTCCATTTATTATATGATTACTTTGTCAACATAAGGTGCTTCAGTACATCTACTTTATAAATATACGTGTAGATGTATTGCATACACGTACTTTAGAAATGTATGTATAGATGTCAAATACTCAGAGGATTCTTTGTACCAAGGAAAACTGATACTTGGCCCGACAACTCCACTGCAAGATTGTGGACATACCAGTTGGCATTTAAGAGAGGTACCCAGAATCAACTTGCTTCCTTTGTGTTGGTCATGGGTGACCATGTAGCCTCAATTCAGTGCACATCCTTTAGGCTTAGTGGTTGAGGGACCAGCAGGCTGCCTGAGACTTTTGGCTCCTGGGTCAAAAAGCACCAGTGTTTTGGCAGAAAGGACACTTGTCTAGCCACTAACTCCCCAGATGTTTATCTATTGATGGGCATAATGAAGGCTTCAGCTTATGTTGTGTCTTTAACTTAGTCTCTCTTCACTCCTGTGTCTCTGACTTAGTCTCTCCTCACTCATGGCCTTCTCTAGGCCACTGTTACAGCATGGATGTCTCTCACTGCTTGTTGGAATTTGGAAGGTAAATGTCTATCAACCTAAGTAGCTGAGGCAATAGTTTTCTTCTCTCAAAGATATGTAACCATACAACTGGAGCCTTAACTGTTTAATGTTAGAACAAAATAGATAAGAATGTCAGGAAGTGGGGTGGGGGACAGATATATGAACCTTGTAGAGGAGAGATCTAAAAGGAAGGTTTAAACTTTCCTAAGCGTGTATAAATTAGCAATACGTATGTATGTGATTTGTTGAGTTCCTTCTTCTTACATACCAAGTAAGTACTTGTGTACCCTTCCTAACTCTGTGAAATAGGGAGTATTATTACCTTGTTCAAAAGGTGAGAACTGTCTTCAGAGGTTAAATAATTTGCCAAGGTGACATGGCTAGTAGGTAATGGAGCCATACTGGCTCCACCTACTCACTCCAGATGTTAGCTCTGAACCCTTCTGCAGAGATGATGCATAGATTGTGTGACTGGAAGTACACTCCTGGGGCTGTGCGAATGGCACAATCACTCTGCTCTGTTGCCCTGGGCAAAGAGAAGGGTGGACTTAAAATTCTGGTTCCTTTGTTCTCTTTTGAATAGCCTCAGATTGTAAGTAGTCTCTATTTTTTATGCTCTAGGGCCCTTGAAGGAAAGGCAGCTCTAGGAAAGGGAAGATCATTTTTTTGTTGCTCCTGTGTAGAGTAAGTCTGGGTTTTATAGGGCAGTGCCAGATTGATTTATATTCTTTCCTGCAATGAAAAAAGACAATTTTTATTTAAAAAGGAAAGATTCTTGAAGGCGGTGGGAAATGAATAGGATTAAAAAAGGTTATATTTTTTTCTCTTTTGACATTTTCTGCTACATTGACATTTTTCTGTGGTGTTTGGTAGGGGGTGAGACCTTTTCTGTTTTGCTTTATTTATTTATTTATTTATTTATTTATTTATTTATTTATGTGTGTCTTAAACAAATCAAGCTCTTTGTTTCAAACTATTTCTATTGTTTTTCCTTTTTTGCTTTGTGGGAGCAAGTCTTTATAAGAAAATACTAACTTGCTTTTATTTGATTCAAGGTCAAAATACATTTGTTGAAAAAAAGATCTATATATTCTAGAAGAGAAATGAATGTTTCTCTGTTTTAAAGGACTTTAAATATTTAGCTTCTGAAAAAAATCACAATTATATGAACACTGGGGCACCTGGGTGTCTCAGTCAGTTAAGCATCTGACTTTGGCTCAGGTCCTGATTTCATGGTTCATGAGTTTGAGCCACGCATCAGGCTCTGCGCTGACAGTGCGGAGCCTGCTTGGGATTCTCTCTCTCTCCCTCTCCTTCTATGGCCCTGCTCTGCTCTCTTGCATGTTCTCTCTCTCTCTCTCTCTCTTTTCTCTCTCAAAGTAAATAAATTTTAAAAACATATGAACACTAATGCCACGTTTATGCGATATGTGCATTTTTGTTGAACTTGATTTTGATAGGCAGGGTGGATAATTTAGGATACAATTCTCCTTTGGTATAAAGAGGTATCAATATAACATTTCATCAAGGAGCACAAGTGAAGGCTTCCCAGCTCACACTGTAAAGCTAGCATGCCACATTTTGGAGGGCTCTTACATTAGTAAGTTGGTCCTTATGAAGACCATTTGTGTGGTGGATAATTGCTTGACTACACAATTTTATTAGTTTAAGACTCAGAGAATTATAGAATTTCAAGAATTGAAATGACTACCAGTCATTTACCAGGCTTTAGCCTTCCTGTTTTGTTAGATATTTTTTGCTCTCTCTTCAAAAATCACATTATGCATATTACAATAAAGAAAATACCCTGTTCGCTCTTCCCCTTGTGTAAAGCCATTGGCACCTATTTTAGTTTCCTAGGCCTGCCATAACAAGGAACCAAGGTGGCTTCAAACAACAAAGATTTATTCTGTCACAGTTCAGGAAGCCAGAAGTCCAAAATCAAGGTGTCAGCCAGGTTACTTTCCTTTGGAGGGTCTGAGACAGAATCTGTTCCACGTTCCTCTCCTCTCCTCTGGTGGTTCCCAGCAATCCTTGGTGTTCTTGCATTGTGGACACATAACTCCAGTCTCTGCCTCCGTCTTTACATGACATTCTCCCCTGTGGGTTTTTGTCCAAATTTCCCTCCTCTTATAAGAACACCAGGCATTGGATTAAGGTTCACCCTAATCCAGAATGACCTCATTTTAACTTGATTGTTAAGTACAAAGACACCATTTCCATATAAAGTCACACTCACAGGTACTGGGGTTAGGACATCAACATATCCTTTTGGGAGATACAGTTAGGCCTACACTGGCACCACCAGGACATATTAGACGTAGAAGTCCTATACTAGGAGACAGAATCCATGCTTGAGTGAACAGTTAGTGAAACACTATTCATTCATTAGTTCCATTATTGCAAATCTTAAAGGACTGGTCAGAGTGTTTTATTTTCCTAGAATATTGACTTGAAATGAGTCGGCTACAGATTGTTGTATGAAAATCTCATATTGGCTTCATATTACTGATTTTTGCTATAAAGGGTTGGAAAGCTGGTAATTTTCGTGGTCTTAGGAGTTTGTTAGGCATTAAGAAAATGAGTCAGGATGTATCTGTACCACTCTGTGGCCAGAGGAAGGATTCTGAACTTAGCACTTCCCACTCCTCAAATTTGCTTGAGGAAATTGAAGGCTCGTCCCAGGAGCAAGAAGAAGAAACAGATTGGAGTGGGGACAGAGGCTAAGACTTGGCACTGAAGGTGTGGGTGACTTCTCTCTTGGGCTTGAGCAGCCTCACTCAGGAGTCTTATCTCTACATATAGTGACGTGCTGACATGCCTGGTTGAGGACTTCTGCACATCATCAGCTGGCATACATTTAGGTGCCCAGGGGAATCTGGAGAGGTATACATGAAGAAGGAGGCCTGCATGTTAGGGTCTGCCTCTGGATAACAGAGCAAAGAGAACAGGGTGGGAGGATCCCACTGACCTGAGGGCTGGGCCAATAAAAGGCAGCCCAGAGGCTTCCCTGCAAGGAACTCGCTGAGGAAGGATGAAAAATTCTGGAA